TATTAAACTCTACACTATTACCGGAAGACGACTTATGTTAGCTGATTTGACAACTCTCTCTCTCTCTCTCAACATGAGTCCCAGAGGGGAAAGTATGAGAAAGTATCCGATGGCTCAAAACTCGTTGGCCGGGTGGGTTGTCAAGTTTACTCTGAAAGTCTGGAAGTCTCTTTCGAATGGCGATTGCAGGTGGTAATCGTTATGAGAAAGAGACTTTCTGATCCGTCCAGCGTCTTTCAAGCTGAACTAACTGCAGTAATGACAGCCGCTTCATGGTTACTCAATTCTATGATGGCAACTCAATCTATTAAAATTCATATTCTCACAGCCAATCTGCTGTTGATTCTCTTCAATGGCAACAAGATGTAGAGAAATCTTAAACAAGCTCTCGACGGTGTGCAAAACATCCGTGGCTTTGGTTCCCGGACATAGATATATTACCCGAAAGGTCGAGGTTGACAAGTTAGCTTAAAAGGGAAACTCTGTTAACCACGGCAAAGTCTACACAAGATGTGGACTATCTATCTCTATGCTAAGAATGATCTTCACCTATAGGGTTAGTCGCAGATGGTAGGGTGCAACCACATGCAATGCAATCAGACAGATTTGACTAGATGTGATTTAATAAAAGAGAGCTGAGCCTCTAATTCCGCTAAACAGTACCTCCATAATAACCGGAGACTGCAGAAGGATTGATTACTTCTGTAATGACATCTGTCGCAGCTGCGGTAACATGGACTAAGAGGAGTCGGAGGTGTACTAATTCTGCCATTGCCTAACCCTAAGGAGGGTCAATATTCGTCTGTCTTATTGCACAAACTAAATGGTGTGAACATCAAGGAAGGTGAGAGGAATCTTTTTCATACACATCTTAGGTATAAAAAGGGGTCAACAGGTTCAGGTTCATTCAATCAAGGGCTCCCCTGAATCAGCAACCTAATTAACTAACTGACAACCAAAGCAAAGGAAGAGAAAGCTATTGAAGCTGAACTTGTGTTTTCACTCAATATGGTTTTCCAATAGTCCAATTTCAACAATAAATTTTTTTCTATTCTCTTCCTTGCTTCGTAAGTGGCATCCATGTGACCACCGTGCATTGCTTACATCGTACTTTCGACCGGTTCTGCTTATCTATGTATCCTAGGTATGTAAGTATGTATGTAAATGAAAACTATACAAAGATGTGGTTAGATAATTCGTTAAATTTATGTTGCACTCGAATTCCCTATAAATATTTAATACATTTTCCAAGTGGCACAAAAGAGCACATGACATAATATGGCTCACGTCTAGTGGAACTGCTTGTACAACCAAAACAGTTAGGACATTGAAAATATGTACGAATATAGGATTTAGATTAAAGCATATCAGAGGCGGGAATACCTCTCTAGCCTGCTGAATGAAAACGAAAATGGAGTGTCAGCCTATGCCGAACCCGATACGCCAATCGATGAAAATGGAGAAGACATTCCTCTACCCGACTATGACAAGGTTCGAATAGTGATTGCCCGCTTAAAGACAACAAAGCGGCTGGAGCTGGCGGCCTAGCTGTAGAACTATTCAAACATGGCGGTTAAGTGCGGACAAAGTGCATGCTTTAGCTTCTTTACAGAATATGGTCGGATGAAAGCTTTTTTCGGCGATTCGAACATAAATGTGCTCTGCTCCATCCATAAAAAGCGGAATACCAAAGACTGTCCCAGTTAAGTAAGGTTCTATAGAGCGTATGGTGTGCAAGACTAAAGCGCACTCTCAACAAACTGATTGGATCTTTTCTGTGTGGCCTAAGACCTGGTAAACCCACCATTGACCAGATATTTATTATGCATCAAATCTCAAAAAAGACTCGTGAAAAGACGAACGACATTCCATCCTCATCTCTTCGTCGATTCAAAAGCAGCCTTCGGCAGCACGAAAAATAGTTGCATCTACGCCGCAGTGTCTGATTTTGGTATCCCCGAAAATTCGATATATGTATCTGTGTGTACTGTCGTTTAGCAATAAGTTGTCTCAAGATCGGAAAGACCTCTCCGAGCCGTTCGATTTCAAACGAGGCTTCAGACAAGATTTTTTGTCACGCGACTTATTTAATTTATCGCGGGAGAAGACAATACGAACTGCGGTGCTGAATAGCGAGATACAATCATCAGCTACTGGCGTACGCCGTTGTTATTGACATCATCGATCTCAATAACCACGCCGATAGTGAGCGAGGATAAGACGAAATATGTCTCCTGTCATCAAATAAACAGTCGTCGCAATGCTCGACTCGGCTCTCACTTCGCTGTTGGTAGTCCCAACTTTGTCTTGTCTACCAGCATTTACACCAACAACAACGTTAGCCTTGAAATCTCACGCATAATAACTAATGTTAACAGGTGCCACTTTGGGCTTAGCAGGCAATGAAGAAATAAAGTCCTCTCTCGGCGAACGAAAACCAAGCTCTAACATACCCGTCCCGCTATATGTTGCGGAGACATGAACGATGGCAATGATTAGTAGTTTTCGAGCGAAAGGTAAGATTTATGGTCCTCTGCGTATTGGGCATGACTAATACTGCAGCCGATGGAACAATGGGTTTTACGAGATATACGGCGATATTGACCTATGTAGTTCAGTAAATCAAGAGACAACCTGGCAAGGACCTGTCTTTTAAATGTATAGAAATACTTCAGCTTTGACAATTTTCGGTGCAAAACCCGCTGGTGGAAGCAGAGGAAGAGGAAGATTGAAATCCATATCCCTGTAAGATAAGAAAACAGATTTGGCCCAAGCATGACATGATTAGAAAAAAGTACCTGAGTAGGTTCTGCTACATACATGTATGGTTCTGAAGCGTGGAAGATGACGATATCTGTTGGGTCGACTTTGGGATTTTTCGAGAGAACATTTTCGTGGAAGACTTATGGTCCACAGCGTATAAGCGATATGCAGTGAATATTAAAGGCGATAGAGCGATGAGCGAATTAGACACTGCGGCTACGGTGGCTAGGTAATTTTGTTCATATTAACTGATTAGCACACGTCAGATGAAACAGACGAGGAAGAACAGTTGTACTGTCGGAAGTAGAGCAAGAGGAAGACCTCCACAATGCTGAAAAAATCCAGCGAAGAAGGAACTGTCTTCGATCACAAGATCTATTATCATTTTGTCATAGCTGGGTGCGGCTATTATTGAGTAAGCGGCGCTTAGGCTGGAGATTCGGCCATAAAACGTTAAACATATCTACTCCTGACATACTAACCTACTCCTATGTATGTAAATACGTAAGCGTAAGTTAGTGAATTGATAAATATTAATTTGCTTGTGACATGGCATTAGTTTAATTGAAACGTCATCAAAACTCCTTACCGCCAAGCTCGATTTGGGGTTTGCCTCAACGTCTCAACGCCTGTTGTTATGCTATAAATCAATGAGATATTAATTTCATTTAGCAAATGCCACAGAATGCGCATCAACGAAAAGAATATGTATACAACACATACACAAATATATGAGTATTAATTTGTGTTTAATTGTAACACATACATACATATGCATACTCCGGCGGCTGATAAAGCTAATAAACACGTAATTAAAATGTCATTTCCATTATGCGATAAGCAATAGCCACAGAAGCTCACACACACACACACACACACACACTTATAGAACAACCATGAATATCCTCACTGCAAACGAAATCTCTATGGCCACGGTTGATATGTCTTTTGGTGTGAAGGCGGGGTTTAGTGGTCACAGCGCTGTGTGTTTTGGCCTCGATTTGATAGGAAATATATTTTATTATTATTAGTTGCCCATGGCGCGTTGGCCGTTAAGTGGTTGCGTCTAAGGAAATGTGCAATTTATTAGAATTTATTGCCGTCAAAGAAAATTTGATAATGATTTTTTATTTCAATGTGTCCAAGGCAGTAGATTCCGTCCAGTGGAACATGGCGAAAACATGGCTCTCTTAAATATCAATTAACAGTAATTAGTTACTCAACCTAGCTCTGAGTTCTAGCTCTAAATAATGTAAGGAAGAAACTTGCAAAACGTTCACTTAGCTGCTGGCTGTCTTTGTAGAGTGTCTTCGAGCTAACATCTATGCATGGGAAACGAAACGGTGGAAGTTTATTCAAATGATAGAGATCAAATCGAGATCTGAAAAGTCCAAGACAATGTTGTAACTTGTTTCGAAAGCATAAATCTCGCCGAATGATTTATTTATAAACTCTGGAGGTTCACTTTAGTTTTGAGATCTCATCTTTTTCAAGGCAACTTTTAGTCCGTTCACATACAAAGGGTTTCTACTAGAAGCAGTGATATCTTCAATCGATATTTGGAAAGCTTAATGCCGAGGAGGAAAGTTTTTTAAATGGACTTCAGTCGATCAAACTTGTCGGGCTTTGTAATATGATTCCGAGAGTGCTGCGAAGTCCATTAAGGCACTTACCAAGGTGGTGGAAGACACGTCACCAGTCTTTTAAATATACTTACCGGGCTGGGAGTTTATAGCTGAAGAGTTGAAGAATTCAGTCACCACAACGAATTTTTCCTAACTGTGACAGACTGAAGACAATATTTTAGATCTGTTTCAAGCCTTGCATTGTCTTTGTGCAGCTAAAAATGCGGTTAGTTCTCTAAGTATCGCCCCCAAAGACACATTTCGTTTTTCGGCAAAGTCAAAAGAAAAGTTGATGCAATGAGGACTGCAACATCTTTGATTGACCGCAATGCGAACGGTGATCGAAATATACCAAAAGCTCAAGAGGAAAGTCAGAGTGAGTCAGCTTTTGAATTGCGGTCGCCCATCGGCAGGGGATGACGAAATGTAAAAGCTCCTCATAAAAAAACTATCAGCCATGTGGAGACAGCTTAGTAGAAACAGTAGATCCATTCATTTGTTGGAAAAACAACAAGATGCAAAACCACAAATTTGAGGAGAAGCTCAGCCGAAAATCGCTTATAAATTAAGAAGACGAAGAAGAACTCCTAAACTCTGTTACAATTAATTTATTTACTTTTTCTTTTTATGAGCACTTTGTGTCTCCGTATTCATAGTCCACTCCACGCTTGTATCCCACAACCAAGCTGCTAACTGATCGTCCTGCGCTTGTTTTGAAACCTCCTTCAATTCACAATCTTTAAAATATTTGCCTGTAACTTCAACCAGATCGGGATCCAACGCCGCATATAGAGTTGTCTGTGCGCCATTTTTAATCGTTTTTGTAAGTGGCCAAGCCACGTACTTCAAAATAATGCTGAAACAACAAATAATTAAGTGTAAATTTTGAAGACTTCTCATGAATGTAAACCCAAGAAGAACTTACTAGAAAACGAAACTCTTTAAATTGGTGCCTGCATCACGTACGATATCTGTGGCAACCACACCCGGGTGTAGCGCATTAACGGTAACGCCAGTGCCGGCCAATCTTCTTGCCAACTCTCGCGTGAAGAGCACATTTGCTAGTTTACTCTGAGCATATGCTCCACGATTGTCATAGTCTAGTTCACTGTTTAAGTCGTCTTTTTTGATTTCACCCCGACCGTGTGCCAAACTGGCCACAACTACAATTCTACTGGGTGGTGATTTCTGAAAGGAGCCGAAGATATTTTTAAAGTTTTTTTTTTAATTGCTTCTTTTTTTTGGTTTATGTAAAATCTACCTGCAGCCATCGAGTAGCAGATTTGTGAGCAAAAAATGCCCCATATGATTTATGCCAATTTGCATCTCAAAACCGTCTTCAGTCAGCGTACGCGGACAACCCATTACACCAGCATTATTGATGAGTATATCCAAGTGGTCCTCTCTGCTTTTGAATCTAAGAGAGAAAAAATTGATTAAACTCTGATTTCTGAGTTTAAGGTCTTCTTCCGTACTCTCTCACGAACTCTCTTATAGACTTTAGTGAAGCTAGATCCAATTTTAAGGCGTAAATCTCCTTATTTTTCGTTTCGCTTATTATGCGCTGTCGCACCTGGAAGCGATATTTTCGTAAAATAAAAATAAAAAATTAAAACAAATCAAAATAATAAACCAAATAATCACTAAAAAAAATTTTATAAAAGAAAATAAATTTAAAATAAAGAAAATGAAGGAAAACAAGTTAAATGAAAAAGCAAAAATTTTTTCAATATTTAAACAAAATTTAGAAAAAAACATTAAGAAACTGTAATGAAAATTTCAAGAAAACGAGCAAAAGAAGTAAATAATTATTAAAAATAAATACAACAAAAAAATAAATTAAATAATTATATATATAAAAACTTTTAGAAAATTAACTTAAAAAAATGAAGAAAAAATAAAAAGGAGCAAAATATAAATATATTTATATAAAAAATGTAATTAGAGTTTAAAGAAAACGAAGAAATATTAGCGAAAATAAAAAGAATTATTTTACAAAAATATTAAAAAATTAAATATATATAAATAAATAAAAATTGTTAAGCAGAGGATTAAAAAGTAATAGAAAAAATTAATAAAAAAAAAACTAAAAAATTAAGAAAAATTAAAAAAAATAGTAATTATAATAAAAATTTTAAGAAAATTGCAAAATAATATGTCGAAAATTCGGAAAACAAACCAAAAAAATTAAAGACAAAGGAAACTTTATAAAAAAATTGTAATAGAAATTTAAAGAAAATGAGAATAAAATAAAAAAATTAATGATTAAAAAATATAACATAAATTTAGAGAAAATTAAGAAATATATTAATAAAAAATTTAATAAAAATTAAAAGAAAATGACGAAGAAAATAAATTATGAGAAAAAAAATTAAATAAGAAAAAAATAAAAAGCAACTTAACTACTAAAATATAAAGAATTTGGAGAAAATTAAAAAATTAAATTATAATAAAAAAAAGCTAAAAGAAGAAAAAATATAAACAAAATTTAAGACGAAAAATATACAAAAACAGTAACAAAATGTAATAAAAATTAAACAAAAAAACGGTGAAAAAATAAGAAATAATACAAAAGTTAATAATAAATGAAAATATAGAAAACGGAGGAAAAAATTAAAAAAATAAATAAATAATAAAATAAAAATTTAAGGAAAATTGCAAAAAAAATTATGTCGCAAATTCGAAGAAACCAACCAAAATACTAAAGATAAGTGAAAAACTTTATATAAAAATTATTATAAACATTTAAAGAAAATGAAGAAAAAATAAAAAATATTAATAATTAAACAAAGTAATAAAATTTTTTAGAGATTAAAGGAATAGAAGGAAACATAAAATATGCAAACAAATTAAGTAAAACAGTTTATATAATTAAAAGAGTATAATAAAAGTTTGGGGAAAATTAGGAAATAAAATTATAATAAAAAAATTTAAAAATTTATAAAAGAAAATGAAAACAATAAAATGTAAAAAATATTAAGTAAGAAAAAAATAAAAAAAACATATTACACAACTAATAAATTATAAAAAAAAATCAAATAGAATTATGAAAAAATAAGAAAAAATTTGATAGTTAACAACAAAAGAAAAATTATAGAAAATGAAGAAAAAAAAATAAATAAATAATAAACAAAAATAAAAATTTGAATAGAACAGTTAAAAAAAATAAAACTTTTTTTAAAACATGAAAAACAAAATGAAAACAACATAAAACAGAAAAATAAAAAATTAATTAAAAATTTTATAAAAACTTAAAGAAACTTAAGAAAAAAATAAATAGCAAATATAATAAAATAAAAAATAAATAAAAAATATTAAGGAAAAAAATAAATAAAAAATGTAATGTAAATTATCTGCACCTTTTCACATTTTTTCATATCTCTGCAGGCCATATAAACTTTGCCGCCACGCTTCGCCAACCCAAGCGCCGTTTCAGCACCAATGCCAGAATTGGCGCCGGTTACTATGACAACCTTACCGTTAATCATTGTATTCTTCTTGTATTTACCGCCTTGCATTAACCATCTGAGGAAAGATTAATTAAAAATTATTACATTAAAATGTTAATAATCAATTTCTGCTTAATATTTTTATTTTCATTGTTTAAATAAACCATGCATATCACACACTTTACAAGCAGCAACAACAAAATTATCAGTACAATGACAATCAAAAAGTCTGATGCGGTCATTTTTGGCTCGACCTCCGTGTTCAACGATTTTTGGATTATTGATTAACAAAAAAATTAACTGTTTGCTTGAAGAGTACATCATCTAACGGATGCACAATCGTTATCAATAATTATCATCAAAAAATGTTTTCAAGGTTTTCATGTTTTTATTTATTTATTTTTTTCATATCGCTGTCGGCCGCAATAGCCGATTAGTTGGCGGTGTGCACTGCTATTCGAAAGGCCAATGTTCGAATTCTGATCCAGTTGTTAAGCTTTCTGATTATATTTCTTACATGAAAGAAAAAATCTTCACAAAAATTCATCGACAGTACGGAGTCGGCTCAGAATAAACTGTAATTTCCTGCTTTTATAAGAAAAATTGAAAGACACACGCCACAAATTGGAGGAAGAGCTCGGCCGAAAATCGCTTCAGCGGTTCCGCCAACTATATATACATCTATAAATATCAATTTTTATCGCCCACGTACATCTTATCTCTAGCTCACATACAAATGTACTAAGACTGCAATTTCAGTGCATGAAAAAGGTGGGTTTCTGAAAGTTTATGACGTATTGAAGATGGAGGGAAGAAGTTATGTACTTGTGTCTATGAAGTAGCTTTACTTTTGTCATTGTGATAAAGTTCAGACGGAACATTTGTTACGTACTTATGAGCGCTGTCACAATTGAGTGCGACGATCTTAATACCAACTTAAATGAATATACATTTGAAAGAAACTTACCCTAATGCGACTGAGGTTGAGCGACTCAGCCGGGCTCCAAGTGTAAAGTCTTCTTATGAAGATATACCAGCTCCTCGGAATTGAAACAATAGTCTCGAGTCTTGTAAGAAATACACAAAGGCGCATACCGGAGAAGCATAGTATCTGGACAGAATGATCCGCAAGAAAGTTGGGCATATTTATCTACTAGTATGCCTTAAATACGAATCATATGGGCTCATACCGCTAGCTATTTGGTGTACTTGCCGCTCCCATGCAGCAAATTTATTGCATCCATAAATAAAAACAGGCACCTTGTTGAAAAAATGCTTACCAAGAGGTTTTCTTCGAGTAACTAACAACGCGCCGGTTGTGACGAGTAGAATAGTTTCAAAGCTGAAGTGCTCTCAGCCATCCGGCTAACATAATCCAGCCTACGTAGCCGCTGGCTTTTAGTTCGCTGAACTATGTCAATGCCGTCGTTAATATCGGACTTAGAAAGTGAACTTTACTTTTCAATTGTCTCCGATACTCCGGTAGTTTGGCTGAAATCAGATCTCTTCTCGGTACCTGGATACAGGGGCATCCCAGGAAATTGCATGACAGACGAGCTAGCAAAGGAAGGAACACTTCTGTCAACGATAAAACACGCACATGCTTAAACTGGCCTTCAGCAAGGAAGTTGACTCACGATGGCTGAACGAGATCACGTGTAACGTGACCAGACCGCTATGACTGAAGTTGGACGCGAAAAAATCTAAACATCTTATCTTTCTGGATCAGTTTTCCATTAACATAACGACTGGTATAATAACTGGACACTGTTTAATGGGGTTTCACGGGATAGGATGGGTTTTTACTCTAACGATTTCTGCCGCGGCTGTAGGGACGAAGAAAAAGAGGAGATCATCGAGCACTACCTCTGCCACTGTTCAGCCTTGACAACCGCGATACACAAGTTTCTTGGCAAACACTTCTTCGACTCTCTCGCGAGTTGGTTTCAGTGAACATTGGAAATATCGTTGCCTTTATAAGGCGCACGAAATGGTTTGATTATTTAAGAAGGTGAAGACAGGAGCCTCAGCGGTACCACAATGGGTATATATGCCTATGTGTGCTGGAGCTGACCAGCAGCCTCAACTCAACTCAACTCATTATTATCGGTGTTAACGGAGCGCTCGTTGAAAAGATCTCTGCGATGGCAACGCAAGTTCCCTACATAAAGAATTCGTAAACCTATCGCATAACCTCGCTGTACGACTGCATACCAATCAATGCATATGTATATACATAGTGAACCACTTACCTAAATACCGACGTCTACTAACACCCGCACCTCTGGTGAACGGACGGTGCAATTAGACATCACAGATCTCTCAAATCGAATATGTTGCAGAAGCTGCATTAAAGTACTCTCAATTTTAGCGGCGATCCAAAGCTCCGCGTGTTAGTTATCACATCTTGTACAAGAACTACTTACATTTCCAGGGAGCGCAATGACCACGAAAGGGGTGAGTATTTATTGAGTATATACGAGTATATAATTGGCACTTTGTAACCGCTGAAGCAATGTTGGGCCGAGCTCCTCCTGCAATTTGTGGATTTGCATCTTGATGATTTTCCAACAAACGGAAGAAGCACACAGTTTACATTAAGTCGCCTCCAAACGGCCGTTGGATTTCTATGAGGAGGGGTTGACATTTCCTACCGAGGGGCGGCCGCAAGAAAAATAAAGTCTATAGTTTTGTAACAGGACTCAAACCCTGACCTTCAGCATGCCAGTTCGCAATCCTATCCACTTGGCCGTGTGAACATAACTGTATACCGAGAATCAAGACTACACACCTGGTCAGCCAGTCACTCAAGAATAGATAGTTATGGCATTAGTCTGGCCGACATGGTGAAGCAGAGTGAAGATGGTGGTGGGATTGGAAAGGCTTTGTCCATTATGAGCGGTTACAGCCAGGGAAAGCGATCAACAATTCTTTGCCCTAGTGTCAACAATTAATCGGCTTCATAATCAATTACTCTAAGATTGAGCCTTTGACATTGATAGCATTGGCAGATGTGATGAGAAAAGTGAAGCGAATGACTTTGGTAGTGAAGGGAGGTAAAATGAAATATCTACATTGCAAATATTCGATGCAGTACCCGTAAGTGGAAGCTGAGGAATAGCAAGATTCCGATGGAGGACATGCTGGATTCATTTGGTGTCGCCAAGCACTGAATTGAAGGAAAAGAAACAACTGGCGCATTATTGTTAATTCAAATATAATCGCGTCACCTATATCAATGAAGAAGATGTAATACTTGGAAACGCTTTATTCATTTACATATGTTTGTCTTGAGCACCTTGCACATTCGTATTCATAGTCCACTTCACGCTTGTATCCCATAGCCAAGCTGCCATATCATCATCCTGTGCCTGTTTTGAAACCTCCTTCAATTTACAATCACTAAAATATTTGCCTGTAACCTCAACCAGATCGGGATCCAACGCCGCATATAGAGTTGTCTGTGCGCCATTTTTAATCGTTTTTGTAAGTGGCCAAGCCACGTACCGTACAATAAAACCGAAGAAAGTCGTAAAATTGCTGCCCGTATTACGCAAAATATTTGTTGCAATCACACCGGGATGTAGGGCATTGACGGTAACGCCAGTGCCGGCCAATCTTCTTGCTAACTCTCGCGTGAAGAGCACATTTGCCAGTTTACTCTGACCATAAGCTTCGAAAGACTCATATTGAAGTTCACTGTTTAAGTCGTCTTTTTTGATTTTTGCCCGAGCGTGAGCTAAGCTTGATACAACTACAATTCTACTGGGTGGTGATTTCTAAAAGGGGACGGAGATAGTTTTAAAGGTTTTTTAACTTTTCCTTATTTTTTTGGTTTATGTAAAATCTACCTGCAACCAATCGAGTAGCAGATTTGTGAGCAAAAAATGTCCCATATGATTTATGCCAATTTGCATCTCAAAACCGTCTTCAGTCAGCGTACGCGGACAACCCATTACACCAGCATTATTGATGAGTATATCCAAGTGGTCCTCTCTGCTTTTGAATCTAAGAGAGAAAAAATTGATTAAACTCTGATTTCTGAGTTTAAGGTCTTCTTCCGTACTCTCTCACGAACTCTCTTATAGACTTTAGTGAAGCTAGATCCAATTTTAAGGCGTAAATCTCCTTATTTTTCGTTTCGCTTATTATGCGCTGTCGCACCTGGAATCGATATTTTCGTAAAAAAATAATAAAAAATTAAAACAAATCAAAATAATAAATCAAATAATCACTGAAAAAGGGCATAAATAAAAAATAATAAAAAAAAATACATAAAATATAATATAATGCAAATTAAAAGAAAAAATATAATGCAAATTTTTCAAGAAAATGATTAAAAGAAATACAAAATAATTAAAAAAAAAATAATAGAAAATTTAAAATAAATTAAATAAATTTAAAGGAGATAAAAAAGGAGTAGCATATAAATAGAAAAAGAAAAAACTTTAAGAAAACGAAGCAAAATTAAAAAAAATATAAAAATATTGTTACTGAAAAGAATAACCAAAATTTAATTAAACTTAAGAATATAAAATATAGAAAAAGTATAGTTACAAGTAAATAAATAATAAAGGAAATAAAAAAATAAAAAACTTAAATTTAAATTTTTGAGAAAACGAAAAGAAACGAAAAAGGAACGAAAAAAATGAATAAAAATAGTACGAAAATTTCAAGAAAGTTAAGAAAAGAAATGAAAAGCGAAATTATAAGAAAATTAAGAAAATGTATAAAAATAAATAATTAAAAATATAAAAAATGTAGATAATTTTATGGAATTACATAATAAAAGAATTTGACTTAAACTTAATGACAATGAAAAAAAAATTTATAAAAATGTAAAATTTAATAAAAATATATTGAAAATTTTCAAAAAACGAAGCAGAATAAAAGAAAATTAAAAAAAAATGTTAATAAGAAATATAAGTTTAAGAATATTTAGAAAAAAACTAAAAACAAATCATGAAAAAAACAAACAAAACAACAATAACGAAAGTATAAAGAAAAAAATAAAAAAATTTAAATAATAAAAAACAAACAATAACACATAATAAATATGAAAAATGAAGAGAAAATAAAAAAATAATACAGAGAAATACAGAAAATTAAGGGAAAAAATAATCAAAGAATTTAACGAAAACTTAAAGCAAATGAAGAAACAAATAAAATAAGGAGTAAAATGTAAATAAAAAATATAATGAAAATTTTAAGAAAACGATGAGAAATTAATGAAAGTAAAATGATATTAATAAAATTAGAAATAAATAATGAAAATTTAAAAAATATTAAGAGAAGAACAAAAAAAAATTATGAAAAAATAAACAAAACAACTATAATGAAAATTTAAAAAAATATTAAGAAAAGAAAAAAAAAATTTAAATAATAAAAAAATAACTAAAACAAATAATAAACATGAAAAAATAAAACAGAAATATAAAAATGTGAAAATTTAGAGTAAATTAAGGTAAGTAAAATAATAAAAGAATTTAATGAAAGCTTAAAGAAAATGAAGAAACGAATAAAAAAAGGAGTAAAATATAAATAAGAAATATGAAGAAAAGTTAATGAAATTAAAAAAAATATTAATAAAAACTAGAATGAAAATTTAAACATTATTAAGAAAAGAAATAAAAAAATAAATTAAATAAATATGAAAAAATAAAAAAAAGTTAATCATTGAAAAAAAGGAAAATTAAGAAAAGAAATAAACAAAAAATGAAAAAAGAAATTCAAGCCTATGAAGAAAAATAAAAATATTTAAAAATTTTCTAAAAATTTAAAGAATAACAAAAAAATAATAAAAACTTTGAATTATGAAAAAAAGAATGAAAATTTAAAAATTATTAAGAAAAGAAATAAAAATAAATAAATTAAAAAATATGTTATGAAAATTTAATGAAAATAAAAAAAAAATAAAAAAAAATTAATCATTAAAAAAAAGGAAAATTAAGAAAAGAAATAAACAAAAAATGAAAAAAGAAATTCAAGCAAATGAAGGAAAATAAAAATATTTAAAAATTTTCTAAAAATTTAAAGAATAACAAAAAAATAATTAAAACTTTGAATTATGAAAAAATTAAAAATGTAAAATATACGTAAGTAATATTATGACATATATAATGAAAATTAAAAAATAAGATTTCAATACATATATAAAAAATTATGTCCACCTTTTCACATTTTTTCAAATCTCTGCAGGCCATATAAACTTTGCCGCCACGCTTTGCCAAACCAAGCGCTGTTTCAACACCAATGCCAGAATTGGCGCCGGTTACTATGACAACCTTACCGTTAATCATTGTATTCTTCTTGTATTTACCGCCTTGCATTAACCATCTGAGAGAAAATCAATTAAAAATTATTACATTGAAATATAAATATTGATTTCATTTTTCTAGTTTCTCATTTTAAATGTTAAAAAAAAACCATGCATACTACGCACTTTACAAGCAGCAACAACAAAATTATTAGTACGATAACAATAACCGCGATGACGAAGGGATTTTCGAAAAATTCTGAAGCTGTCATTTTTGGCTAGACTTCCGCGGCCTACGGTTTTTGGTTTACTAATAAACGAAAAATTAATATTTGTTTAACGAGTCAGTCTATCGTGTTCAATTATTATCAGCTTTTATCGCCAGAAACTTTTTTTTCATATTTACTATTACTACGTGTATGCATATGAGCTCACGTAGATACGATATCTTATCTCAAAGTCACTTTGTAATGATGACAGTGATCAAATGCAGTGAGCAATTTTTAAATTTGCTTTGCAACAACAATTCTTCATATAATATTATAATAGAAGAGAAACTCGAACGATTTCGATCTATGCACTCATAGAAGCCCTAAAACTTTCGCATCTAGAAACAAAAAGAAGGCTCGGCGGCAATGCAATTGAATTCTCAATAACAGCCAATCGACTTTTACTCGATTTCAAATTTTGTCTTTGAGAGCGTGAAACTCTCTACCTCGCCATCAATTGAACCTAATCGTATGCAACTCGACATGAACGATTAAGTTGGTGTCATTAAAACACGAAGGTACTCGTAAAGACATTCGACAGCCCGCATTACTTCATATGCGGTCGCGATTGTTACCATAGTAGAGTAGTAGTAGAGCTGTTATAATTATTACGCTCAAGTCTTTAATCGGAAGCACTTGGGGAAAGACAACAGAAACATTGCTCTCAACTTACGGCCAGCCGTTCATAAATTTCTATCGACCCATAGATGAAGCAACTACCACCTTTGAAATTATAACTGGAAATTGGTGGTTGTCGCCTTTACATAATGAGACATTTATATTTTCCACCCGTAGGAGAGAAGTACAGAGCACAAAGGTCAGTAGGTCGATTGGGGCGACTTCAAATGCTGAAATAAATATTTTCCTAGTAACCGGATCAGCAGTCGAAGGTCTCTAAGTACTAATGGTACATATAACTTGGTTTGCTAGCATATTTGACAGAGGAAATAGTCTGCGTGAGCAAATATACATTTTCTGAGCCCATGGAACATATCCCCAAGGGTGAGCTAAGAACATATCTTCGGCAGAATACCCCGAAAATTTAGCCTCCATGAGACATATCTAAATGGGTTGAGGCTGATCATTTCCGCTGAGTCTCGAAAAATGGTTGACTGCAACACTAGGTTGAACCTATCAAATTCATGGTATATTTGGCGGCAGCCGGATCGAAAAGCTTTCCGAGTTGATCCAATATACACAACTGTCCCTATGCAGGAAAGAAGGACTGTAAACGAACAGGAAATGGAGATGTACTTGATTAACATTCCTGTTTTCTGAGAACTCGTGTGATAAAAATACAGACCGTTGAAGAGGGAGCGTGACGTATTGTCTTAGTCTTGAAGATTCTTCAGAAGGTTTCAAGATCGCTACATATTCATATATGATGCAAAGAGGTGAACACCTGACTATTGCCCAGTATAAGGATCGCTTCTCCAAACTGCTGAATGGCAGTAAAAATAAAATATCAGCAGATGGTGAATTCGATCACCCGGCCGATGAGGGTTGAAAAGAAGTTCTTATACCAAATAATGAGGCCGAATAGTAATTGACCTCTTGAACAACAAATCAACTATGGCAGCGAATAATTCAAGAAACGCAACGTTTTTTTTTTGCGCAATATGTGGACGGGTAAGTATATGACTGATAATTGTAGCACGCTCCGTAAGATCCACAAAAAAGGGGACACCATATGTCTGGCAAATCTACAATACACCAAATCTTGAAAAAGACTTGTGAGGGAAGGATCGTCACCAACTATTTTATTGGTCCGTTTTAACGCAGCCGTTGATTTAGTGGAGTGGAACTGCTTCTATGCTGCTATGCCGCTGAGCATAATTAGCCTAAAAACCCCGACGTTCGCTTTGTTTTTATCGAACTAAATAAGTAAGCGAAGCGAACGGGTCCAGCATTTTATCCACAGCTGTCTTTTTTTAACGGCGAATACCGCATCCGATGGGATGATGAGCTGTATGAGATATACGGCGACATAGATATAGTTCAGCGAAGCGAAGAAACAGCTACGCTGGCTAGGTCACGTGGTCCGGATGGGTAGAAATACTCCAGCTTTAAAAGTTTACGATGCAGTACCCACCGTTGGAAGCAGAGGAAGTGGAAGGCCTCCACTTTGTTGGAGAGACCAAGTAGAGAGGGACCTAAGTATCTACTGGGTATTTCCAATTGGCGCCTAACAGCGAAAAAAGAAACGAATAGCACAAAGTTATGAGTTCGGCTTTAAACGCGTAATCGGTGTCTACGCCAATAAGGTAAGTAAGTTATTTTCGAATTTGTGGGAAAATGAAGAGTAAATACCTTGAATAAATACCAAAGTGTCTCCGCACTTTCGTCATGCAGACGATGACGGCACCCGATTAGTTGGTGCCGGAATAAAAGGTTTTAGAGACCTCTTACGAACGATTTTGGCATCTAATACCATAGTGCATGAAACGGCGAGCTGTGGAAGATATGCAACGATATTGACATAGTTCATTTAATGCAGAAGCCGCGACTAATCTAGCTGGATCGTGCCCGTATTAAAGAAGAAGATTTCCTCTACGTTTGGAAGTGTTAACTGGAGAAGGACTTGCCCTCACATGGTGCCTGCATTTGATGCCGAATGGCGAAAAGGAGAAATGACTGGTATGCTATTATTGGACCTGCCACGGCCTGCCCGCTTGAACTCTCTCATAGTGGATTCACTTGCGTATGCTCGAAAAGTGTGTAAAATCTGAATTATAAACTTTTTACAGCTTAAAAGAGAAAGTGCCTGTGTGTGAGTGCACACGAAATTTTCCAACTTGTTGCAGCTTTTTTGTGGTTTTGCGTTGATGTTTTGAAAGCGAGTTTGGTTAGTTATTTGATTTAATAGTTGCGTTGCGTGGCGTTGCGGTTGCAGCAGCACGAGCGAATTTACATACACGTACATATTTACATAAATACGCCAGTGTGTGTGTCTGCCATGTCATGCTAAGCTTTTTACAACATACACATACACACATACAAATTTAGTTTATATTTTTAATTGTTCATAGTTGTTTTTGCGTCTTGTGAACATTTTCGGTTTTATTTCGGTAAATTAATAACAAATAATGTTGTCGACGACTAATTTAAATTACCGTAAAACGACATAGTAGTTTTTAAGCATGCTTTAGCTGATTTTCCAACGCCACTGTGGCATGTGTGGCAAATGTGGTGCTGAGCTTTTGTGTGTGTGTGTGTGTGTGTGGCTTGTATAAAAGCACGGTTTGGTAACAGCAACAGCTTGTTGAACATATGTGTATTGCACTGCTTATGTACGAGGGGATTAACAAAAGTTCGCTCAGTTGGTAATTTTCAATTTGTTTTTGTTAAATCTAAAAATACCAAATCTTTTGCAATTATTGGATGAGTGCAAAAGTTCGTGGCCGATTTCAAGTGCAAACTAAAATTGAAATTTTTTGAAGAAAGCGCTTTTATTAATCAATTATGTATTCGCCATCATGTTCGGCAATCCACTCCCAACGTTTAACTAATTTACTGATGCCTGATTCATAGAAATCGCGCGGTTTCTCGTTGAAAAAGGTGTCATGGTGGTTTTTGACGTCTTACTAGTTTTCCCTTCAAATTTTGGGTAGATTGGCCGAAACGAAGACAAGAAAATGCAATATAGCTGAAGAGAGCTCAGACGAATTTCCACCAGCAGCGCAACAGAAATTCGCCATGTGATTCTTTTCGGATTTCGACGTAATTTATAGCGAATATAAATATTCAGTGAAGGCCAAATTGTTTACGACGATTGTACCGCCTTTAAAGACTATTTCTAAGTGGTTCCAAAGATACCAGACCGAACATTGTTTCGTAGAGAACGAGCACCGAGAAGGTCGACCAAAATCTTCCGCTGCAGACCGCATGACGTCACTGTAGCTCTGGTGAAGTCCGAAATTGAGAAATACCCACGATTGATATAAGAAATGATTGGACTTGAATGTCATGGCTGTATCGCGAGTATTGAGTAATCATCTGGGATACACGAAGAAATCTGCTCGATGGGTACCACGAATTTTAAATAAGGCGCACAAAGAGACTCGAGCGCAGTTTGCTCATTTTCTTCTAAACCAACCCGTAAATGGTCAGTCTAGCAAACTTCAGTATAGTCGTTATTGGTGACGAATCTTGGTTTCGTACGTACGTTCCAGTAACTAAACAGCAGCCCAAGGTATGGAGCCTAACAGCAGCTAACCCAGCCGTAAAATCTAAGCAATAAAAATCAGCAGCAAAAGTAATAATGTCAGTTTACTTCATCCGATCTTAAATCATGACTACTATTCCACTGGAAAAGGGTCAGACGGTAACTGCAAAATAATACACCGAAGATCGCTTACCAAAAGGTTTCAAAAATTTTTTGGAAAAAAGGAAGAAAGAGGACTTGCGGCGCTATTTTTTACGTCATGACAACGCGCCATCCAGCACTGCTGTAATAACGAGTAATTTATTGCCATCTGCACCATAATCACCGCCTAAAGCACCTTGTGATTTCTGATTATTTCCAAGAACTGAAAAGATTTAAAAGGAAAGGTCTTAAAGGCAACAAGGAGATATATAATTAATGCGGTTAATGCTGAACTTGATAAGCTTAAAAACAAGATTGTGAAGAGTATTTTCAGAGGGGGATTTTGAAGACTGTTTTCAGAAGTGGATCTATTGGCTTAAGAATTGACTATTACGCAGAGAAGATAAAAAAGGACAAAGATTACGAATAAATACAAAAATAACTCATATTTTTTGTTTGTGGTCAACTTACCGAACTTTTGTTAATCCCCTCTTATGTAGTGGTGATTGAGTGAGTGATTGAGTGAGTGAGTGAGAGGAGTGCCTTACAGCTAATTCAGTGCGTTCTGGTTGACCTCCATTGACTACTAATACATATATTTTGTTGAAATAGTGTTGATAAGTTGTTGTAGTTATTTTTTAATATTTATATTTCAGTGTTTCATACTCATAGTATAGATGTTTATCATGAATTACATTTAATTAATTGCATAAATAGTTATGTAATGCGTA